GTCTCCTTCTCTGTAGACATTCAAAACCTGCATGGACACCTTCCTGTATGACCTACGGTAGGTGATCCTGCTCTGGCAGGGGAGCTTGACTAGATGATCTTTCAAGGTCTCTTCCAACCCCTAACATCCTTTGATTCTGTATGTGATTCTGTGATTTGTGAAAAAATGCTTTATAATGAGTAAATGAATATAGGTAGTTCAGAGACTCACATATAAGTGTTCATGTGGTCCATTACTGCTAAGATCTTGATGTTTAATGTTAAACATTAGAGTGAGATGCATTTTCTCTTTAAGGTATGCAGCCCCTCATGTATTCTGTTCAAGAAGCATTAAATTCTCGACCATGTTGGACTCGTGTTGGGACAGATATTTGTTACTATAAGTAAGTAACCCAGTCAAACATGCTGAAGATTAGTACAAGGTACAATTTTTGAGGAGAAATATTTGTTTCTGAGTTTGATAATTCTATTTTAATAGTTCTGTTTTGAGCTATTCTTCCTGAAGTACTATGGAGAGTAACAGAAGTGATCAAAATATATAGGGTCTTACTTTGTTAATGCACTTCCAATAATTAAGGTTCAGCTTTGATAATTTTGTCAGAAATTGTATACTGTTCCAGAGAAGCTTTTAAGGAAATTCGTGTAGGCATGCTTGCTTGAAATCTTAACAGTGATTTCGAGTAGTGCTTATCACGTGGTGCTTGTGGTTAGGCTCTTGTATTCTATGGCGCAGTCATTGTAGAGCAATCCTGGAACACATGATCAGATGGTACAGCAAATTTATGTATTAACCTTCTTGGTCAGCAGTTGTTTGCTTCCTTTTTCTTTTGTTTTGTTTTGTTATTGTTTTTATTTCCTCGCCTTTTCCCAGTATGAATAGGTTTGCGTCACTGCTGTAACAAAGTATATTCACAGATGGTGGGAGCGAGTATATTTAGCCTGGAAGTATGCAGAAGAGAAATACAATCACGAGAAATCTTTGTGGCTCTTAGAATTGTGTTTTCAGGAATAATCAATGATATGGAGAAGAAAAATATTCTGATGTGTTTATTGTCTTCATTTTAGAAATCACTTTTCAAGAAGTTCAATAGCTGCTGGAGGTCAGAAAGGAAAATCTTACTACACAATTACATTCACCGTGACTTTCCAACATAAAGATGATGTCTGTTACTTTGCTTACCATTACCCATATACATACTCAACTTTAAAGGTGAGAAGACTATGATCTGTTACGTAGGTGTTTATACTTTTGGACAATGTGAAACATAAGAATTCAGGAGTGAATTATTTTTATTTCTTTATAAAAAGTTTGAAGTGCTCCTTAAAGTGAAGAATTTTCATAAAATACTAATTTTTAGACTGGTGAAAGGTATTCTGAGGAATGGTCTCTGGAAGAATAAAATTGGTAACTTGCAGGCTAAATGGATTTTCTAGGAACTATAATTCATAATTGACTGGAAAAAGTACTAACTGGATAAAGTATTTATGTTTGAGTCAAATGAATCATCCTACTGTTTTACGTATACCCCTTCATAACGGAACTATTCAAGTTACTATATGTAAGATAACAAGACTCCTTTTTAGGATGATGAATTCGCTAAAGAAGTGTTGTGAAGCTTTTAGTACTGAGCAAAACTCTTGCCTGGAATGCCTGTTGCTTGATTGTCATAGCAATAAAAGCGAACTTAGGAGATTCAGTGGGCAGTGTGTAAGAGTGTTGAATGAAGCTTTTTACTAAGCCGTACTTGCTTTTGGAAGAAGTACCTGTTACATATAAGCAGTTGCCTGGCTGCTGAAGCCCAGCGGAGGGACTCGGGGATCTCTGTCCCAGGCTGGTGGACATGGCTACTGCTTTCCTGTTTGCTTGTAGGTTCAACCACTAGCAAGTCCGAGTGTGTATTCCAAAGAGTGAGAGAGAGACACTCACGCAGACACTCTTGCACACCCTTCCTCCATGGCATGGCTAGCTGCATAGGCTGGCATGGACAAGGTGCTGCCTTGAACAACACCTGTGTCTAGCACTACCAGGACTTGCTTAAAAAATAACTGCAGACACCCAAATCTCTTTTCTCCTCTGCATCTGGTAAGGACTGCTGTTCACTAGTAAACGTACACACCCACCCACTCCCTGGAATGACAAGCACATGCATATTGGTGGATGAACAGCACAAATCATTTGTGCCATGCACCTGCCTGGATCCCCGTCTCTTGTACCTGCTGTGCAGATCTCCAGCTGGCAGGGTAGTTCAGCCCGATGCTCACTAGCAAACAGATATACTTGTACACTCATCACACACGTGCTCCAGATGCCAGCATGGACTCTCTGCCCACCCGGTACCCCTGCCTCGACCTGGGACCTCATATGCGCTAGACAGTCCACTTTGGAAGTGTCCTAGCAAATTGCACATGCACCCACTCATGCACACTAGCTTCAGGGAAGACGCATATGCTTGCCCCCCACCTCTAGCAGATGAGATCAGGCACATGGGTTTCTAATCCATGTTCCTACTGTGGATGCTGGCACTGAGACACCCTCCACATACTGTCACAGTATCATCCTGTAGAAAATAATGTATCCTTTGTGCCTTTGTCCTTCTTGAAGCAGTTGGAAAAAAAGACTGGATAAAGAGAAATGTCAGTCAGTCATAGACTTAGAGAATGGTATTTCATGGCCAAAATTATGATGCAAACTCGGACGTTGTTTAAAACAGCAAAAAGAAATATTGATTAAATAGTATCTGTGGAATACACTGTGATACATGATGAAAAAATATTTGAATATTTTTTTTTTTTTTTGTGTGATGAAGATGCATCTTCGGAAGCTGGAATCTATGCACAACCCTCAACAGATATATTTTCGACAAGATGTTCTCTGTGAGACCCTGGCTGGCAACAGTTGTCCTTTAATCACTATTACAGCAATGCCAGAGTCCAATTACTATGAACATATCTATCAGTTCAGTAAGTATGACTTTTCTTTCTCATCAACTGAAAATAATGTAAAGCCAGCTCTTCTAAAAAAAACCAATTAATATTAACTGTTGTGCATTGTAAAAATAACAATGTAAAATAAGATTTACGAATTTCATGAAATTAAGAGGTGTCAATATTCAGGATTTATTTTGTATTTAATAATATTTATTTGTGGTAGTCAAATGAGGACATTCATATACAGATATGGAAGAATATATATATTGATATACTTTAAATTAGTTTCTAGATATTTTTGCATGATACATTTTACAGACAACATTTCTTGGAAAAGAATACTCGACTTCTGAGAAACTTCTTTTCTCCAAATACTTAGGTTATTTGTTTTTCAAAAAACCTTTCATCAAGGCAACACCTAAGCTGCTGCAATTTGAAGAGAGCTTTGGTTATGGCAGCATTCCTGGTTTGTTCCTCCACCTCACTATTTTTTTGGATAATGGAATAAAGCCATCTAAGTCATCATACCATAATTGCCAGCTCAGACTTTTGTTGTGACTGTAGAATTGTCTGACTGAATTTAAAACCATATTGTGAGAGTTCAGTAACTTGCAGTCCTTGCAATAATATTCTGGCAAGCTCTGTTGATAATACTAATACCAAATAATACTCAACACCCAAATACTGTATTTTGCAGTGTAATAAATGAAACTGGCTATTGCCTCTTTTTTCAGTTCAGAAACTGTTATACTTAGCTTGAATCATATTTTGTGACTCTTATGCATACTTCTTTTAGGGAATCGTCCTTATGTTTTCCTGTCTGCTCGTGTACATCCTGGAGAGACTAATGCAAGCTGGGTTATGAAGGGAACACTGGAATACCTTATGAGCAATAATCCAAGTGCCCAATGTTTACGAGAATCTTATATTTTCAAAATTATTCCCATGCTCAATCCAGATGGTGTCATCAATGGAAAGTAAGCATAAAATTTTGCACAAATATGTAACCTGTACTACTAAGTCTTTGCAACTGTTGTTAAAAAAATAAAATTCTAAACTAATCCCAGAAACGTACAAGTGCAACACTTAATATGGAAAAATCCCAACAACCTACAAAATTGCTGGTACTTTTCTGGTTTTTGGTGTTTTAAAGGCATATACATTTTTCTTCCATGAATTTCAGTTTTATAAAAAGTATTTTCAACTGTTCATGGATTATAATAATTCCTATGTGATTTGACATGACATTTTAATTATTGTTCTAAACCACAGGTTTTGACAAGTATGGAGTGTTACATGAGAGCACAGCTGCTTTTAGGAAAAGCTAAACAAGTTCAAGATTATTATGAAAAAAACCAGTCCTTGTATCTGAGAAAGCTTTTGCTATAATTTTTCTATTTTTAAGATTTATTGTAGTTTTTAGAAAGATACGGAAAAGGCTGTTGTCAAGTGTTATTAAAAGGGGGAAGGTTAATAGGTGTGCAAGAGAAAGGGCAAGATTTAATTAGAGTTACTAATATAAATTCTTTCACTTACTGTCACTTAATAAATTTAAGCAATATTTCAGAACTTTTTGATGCTGCTATAAGCATTCAGCAGTCTGTATTTATGTGGTTACAGGAAATCCAAGTGAAATGGAAATATTGGTATGGTGAACCTACAGTCCCTTCTTACCTGCTTACAGGCAGTATTTTAAATGGTTTAGTGAAAAAAATAATAGAAAATCGAACTAGTTAAGGACTTGAGTAGAACCCTGTCTTTGTATATGTACAAGCATATATATAGCCTAACACCTGGAATTAAATAATTCAGAATAGAAGTGAAAGTTTAATACAGGGACAGTTAAGAAGTCTGTCCCAACATAGACCATCCAAAGACAAACATACTGAAGATGACTACATGAACTTAAGTTTCTGCAAGTTTAAAAGTTATTGCTGATTATTGACTGAATACAGAGATGATATTTATTTGTTCACTGAGTAGTTTTGTTTTGGGGTTTTTTTTGTTTTTGTCACAGCTACTTGTCTCCTGACAACTTCATATTTCAAGTCTTAAATTTCTGGTCTTCATGTTACAGAAGTCAAGACACTAAAACTGTAAAGATACATATATTCATAATTACTGATTTTGGACTAGCATTTAACTAGAATCCCAAGCCTTCAGTTTCAACAGTAAATAAGCAGAATTACAACTGATGTCATATAAGAAGCTACTTCTGAGTTATTTTTAGGCTTTCTGTAACATAACTTAAACCCAAACAATTCTGTTATTTGACGTGTTAGAAAACTGGAGTTTGCTTCTTACCACGCTCCTTCCAAAGAAGCAGTGGTGACAAGAAAAACTTGAGGTGGGGGGGAGGCTTATTTGAAAGTATGATAATACAGACTACATCATGCGTTTTTCCACACCCCCCCCCAATAGCCACCGTTGCTCTTTAAGTGGAGAAGATTTAAACAGACAGTGGCAAAATCCAAATCCAGATCTGCATCCCACTATTTACCATGCTAAAGGGTTACTGCAATATCTGGCTGCTATAAAACGTTTACCTTTGGTGAGTATGTGTGTGTAAGCAATTCTGAATCTTTTAACCTTGTCTTTGTAGCTAGTCTGTAAAGTAAACATTTAACATGGTCTTGTAAACTGTGTCACACTTAAATTTGACATGGAGAACCGATCTGTAAACTTTTAGATCTAAATGTTTCCTTTGCTAGGGTAGAATGTTAAACTTTCCTTAGATGATACCTACATTTTTTTGTCTTAATGCACAAGTTAATTGTATAAGGAGTTTTGTTTCCTAATTGTTTGAAACTTTCAACAATACAAATAAAAATTTTGATTTGCCCTGCTATTACTTTTATAAAATGTGAATTCCATATGCCTTGGCTTTATTTTGCCAACTGATTTTTTTGTAGGTCTACTGCGATTATCATGGTCACTCTCGTAAAAAGAATGTTTTTATGTATGGCTGCAGCATCAAAGAGACAATGTGGCACACAAACGTTAATGCTGCATCTTGTGACATAATGGAAGACCCTGGTTACAGGGTAAGTTTGACGTTTTTACCTTTTTCATTTGGCATGAATTTGGTATATATTTTTTAAGTAACTTCCCAATATTCTGTACACCTAGCAACTTTATAGCATAAGCAGACTTATTTAAAATGCTGTTTTAAGTTTATGACTGTACTTCAGAGTATTTTTAGAGCTTTAAATATTGTGCACTTGTGGAGAAGCACGCACAAACTCCGAGATGGTGGAAAGCGGAATCTGCTTTATTGCAAGCGTGCACACATACTTCTTAGCAAGAAGCACTATTTGTGGGTTACAAACAGGACACCAGACTATGCAGCCAGGGCTGTTATTAGCTCATGTACTTCTCCAGTCACTCTGTTATCACACAGGAAGAACAGACTTTCCCAGGTCTGTTTTGATCATACTCTCCCGTTCACTCCCATGTTCATCTTGTGTACGAGAAGCCTCTTATCTGTCCATTCTCACGGACAAACTCCCAACATGAGCTGTACTCAGCTGGTCAGGGTCTCTTTTGATTATTAGCAAGCAAGAGTTATGTACTTGTTTAGAAAAGAGGTCAAGGACGAAAGTCTTAATTTCACAACGCAGTGCTGCCAGCACAGCTAACTGTAAAATGTAAGGTATCCACATGCACTAATACAGCTAAGGAGTGCTGCTTTTTTTGTTTGTATGTATGTGTGTATGTCTTTATACCAATACACGTCTTGTGTTTGACATTACTATTATAATAAGTACATAGAAACTATGCCTCTGGGCATTTATAATTACTGGATGAAGAAAAAAGTTATTTAAGCATGGCAAACAACATTCTAGCAACAAGACCATAAAACCACTAAATTACTCAGAGAAGTAGTCATTTTTGTGCATGGAAATGGGCAAGATTCCTCTAAAGAAGATTTAAAAAGAGATTTTAAAGGCTCTTAACCAAGCCTAACAGCCAGTCACTGAGAGGAGCTGCTTCGGAGCCTGCTGGCTAGAATCAGAGCCACAGATCTTGGTGTAAAGGCCCAGGGAGCATAGAGACCTGTCCAGAGCTGGCAGCTTTTGGGAGAGATGCTAGTGAGACCTGGGCATTAACAGTGACTTCCCTCATGCCCTTAATAAAAAACCTCAGGGAGCGCAGTGACTAGTCTCTGTGCACACGGACAAGGGACGGGTAGGGAATGTGGGAAAGAAGCGAAGCTCTACAGGTTAATCTTAGTGGTGGTCACTGCCTTACCAGTAGGAGCTCAACTGTAGCCTCTATCAAGCAGAAGGTCATGGTCTCAAAACTCACCAAAATGGATGTGGGAAGCCAGCCGGAGATCTCACTGCCACAGAAACATAGAGCTGTCCAGGTCATGGGCTGCAGGGAGTGCCAGGGCCCATTGCTGGTAATGAGTAGCGGTTATAAGAACTGCTGTGTGTGGTGTGAACAGGTGGACGACATACTCAGCCTGGTGGCAGAGCTGAGAGAACTTGAATGGCTAAGGAGCATCAGGGAAGCAGAACAAGAGACAGATTGGTAGAGCCAGGCTCTGCCCTCTTTGAAACAAAAATGGGGACACCTGCTGGAAAGTATCCTGGATCAGAGGGCCCCAGTATCCCTCCTCTATCAAGCCAAAGGCAAAATCTAAATAATAAAAATGGAAAGAATGAATGGGCCAAGTTCATGCTTGTGGCGGCAGGCGAACTCATTCCTTGCCCATCTCGCCTCCCCAGGTGTCTCTGTACAACAGGTGCCAGGCTCTGGCTGAGGAAGGCCAGCCAAATGAGGATGTGGACGATGGGCAGTTTGTGCCAGAGGTGTCGCACCAGTCACTGAAGCCCACCACCCACATCATGACCACATCCATAGGAAGAAAAAGAAGGGTTATAGTAGTAGGTGACTTCCTCCTGAGGGGAACAGAGAGGCCAATATTTTGGCTAGAACCTACTCATAGGGAAATCTGCAGTCTCCCTGGAGCCTGACTCAAGGATATCACTAGGAGACTCCCCCACCTGGTGCATTTGTCAGACTATTGCCTACTACTGATCTTCCAGACAGGTGGGGAGGAAGATGCATCCCATAGTCTGAAGGGAATAAAGAGAGATTTCAAGGCCTTGGGATGGTTGGTGAAAGAGTCTGGAGTGCAAGTTTTTTTTTCTTCCCTTCTTCCACTTGCAGGCAATAGAATAGAAGGACCCAGTCCATAAATACCTGGCTCCAAGACTGGTGCTATAGGCAGAGCTTTAGGTTGATGATGGCTGCTTTTATAAGATACCAGGCCTGATGGTAATACATGGGAAAGGCTTATCTTGCAGGGGGAGAAGGGTTTTAGGACAAGAATTAGCAAATCTCATTCATAGTGCTTTAAACAAGATTCAAAGGGAGACTGAGTTGTAGCTGGGTTTGCACCAGTGGGGCAGTGTTCTAATATTAGTGAAGACAGAAGGCCTCCAACCCCCAGTGTGAAATCGGTGTGCTCAGCTTGCTCCCTGAAATGCCTGTGCACCAATGCAAGCAGCATGGGGAATAAACAGGAGTTAGAAATCTGTGCGGTCAAGGGCTTGTGATCTGGTGGCAGTTACAGAGACATGGTGGGACAGCTCACATGTCTGGAACGTGGTCATGGATGGCTCTGTCCTTTTTAGGAAAGATGGGCCAACAAGGTGAATAGTGGAGTTCTTTGTGTGAGAGATTAACTAGAATGTATTGAGTTCTGTCCAGGGGAGGATGAAGAGAGTGTTTAGAGTTTGTGGGTGAGAATTAAGGGGTAGGCTAGCATGGATGTGTCCCGGGTTTAGCTAAAAACCCAGTCCT